CGGAGCATGGGGGGTAACAGGGATGTCACCAGACGCAGGGGTGACACTGGGATTGGGGGGGGGACCTGGAGTACAGGGGTAACGGGGTGTCACTGGGTGGGGGTCTGGAGGCACGGAGGTACTGGGGGCATCACCGGCCTCGGGGCATGGGGGCAACACCGGGGCTCGGGGGACACAGAGACAACGGGGTGCCATGGCCTGGGGACACGGCTGCGTGAATGGGGTCCCTGGTTCAGTGGGTGACAGGGGGTGTCCGGGCGGGGGTACTGTCCCCCCGCCGCTCCCGGTACCGGCAGCCTGGCAGCGTCCCTACCTGAACGTCTTCAAGCATTTCCGCGTGGAGGAGTGGAGACGCTCCGCCAGGGAGGGGGACGTGGCCGCCCTCACGGTAACGGGGGCACCGGCACCACGGGGTGGGGGGTGAGGGGACACCGGCCACAGGCTGGCAGCGCTGACCCCCCCGCAAACCTTCCACGGTCACCCCTTTTCCGTGATTTTGGCAGGATGCGAAGCTGAAGGGAACCGTTTACCGGATCCGGGGCTCCGTCCCCGCCAGCAACTACCTGCAGCTGCCGCGGACGGGGACGCAGTCGCTGGGGCTGGTGGGACGTTACCTCTACCTGCTCTTCAGGCCCATGCCCCGCAAGCACTTCGTTGTCCACCTGGACGTCGCCACCGAGGTATTGCCGCGGACGGGGACGCAGTCGCTGGGGCTGGTGGGACGTTACCTCTACCTGCTCTTCAGGCCCATGCCCCGCAAGCACTTTGTTGTCCACCTGGATGTCACCACCGAGGTATGAGAGATCTGGAGGTGCTGGAGCGAGTGCAGAGGAGGGCAACGAAACTAGTGAAGGGCCTAGAAGACAAATCATATGAAGAGCGGCTGAAGGAGCTGGGGCTGTTTAGTGTGAGGAAGAGGAGGCTGAGGGGAGACCTCATCACTCTCTACAACTACTTGAAAGGACACTGTAGAGAGGTTGGTGCTGGTCTCTTCTCACAGGTAATTAACAATAGAACGAGAGGGAACGGCTTCAAGCTCCAACAGGGGAGGTTTAGATTGAACATTAGGAAGGAATTTTTCACCCAAAGAGTGGTCGGGCATTGGAACAGGCTGCCCAGGGAGGGGGTGGAGTCCCCATCCCTGGCTGTGTTTAAGGGCCGTTTAGATGCAGTGCTGAGGGACATGGTGTAGGGGAGGACTTTGTAGAGTAGGGGAGATGGTTGGACTCGATGATCCCAAGGGTCTCTTCCAACCTCAATGATTCTATGATTCTATGTGACACGGAGCAGGCTCGTTAATCCATCCTCGTTAGCATCGTGGCCTGATTGAAGGTCCCTGGGGGGTGCAGCTGGTCTTTATTGCTGCCGGTGGGTTGCCCTGGGCTTGGAGGTGGTTTCCATCCTGGTGGCATCTCTACTGGGGAGAGGGGACGTGAGGGATGAGACGTGACCAAGCGTCTTCTCCTCTGTGGCATTTCCCTGCCGAAGCCACCAGGGTGACTAAAGTGCTGTGTGTGTGTGTCTTGTTTTCTCAGGAAAACCGGGTGGTTCGCATCTCTTTCTCCACCCTCTTCAAGGAGTTCAAGTCCACGGCCACTTGGCTGCAGTTCCCCTTCCTCTTCGCAGCGGCCGAGGGCTCGGTGTGTGACAGCGTGGCCAGGACGGCCAGGCGCGGTGAGGACCACGCGTGGGGCTGGCACAGCATCACCAAAACAAAGCCTTAGAACACAAATTGAGTTGAGGAGTTGGCTCGATGTGCTCAAGGAGGGTGGTGGTCCCAAGCAGGAGACCCTCAGCAGCTGGAAGGTCAGAGCTGCAGCTCCCAGGAGAGATGTCCCCCCATCCCCATTCTCCTGGGTGTGATGTCAGGTGGGATTGAGTCCATGAGGCACCAACTTCCAAGCCTGGTGGGAATCTTACTTGGGAAAGTCTTTTGACTAAACTGCCTTAATCTTGCATCTCCCTTTCTGCAAGGTCCAAGGTCTGTCGTGTCTTTTGCCACCTTCTCTCTTTGCCACTGTCCCTTCTCCTCCCAGATCTCCTGGGAGCTGCCCCCGCTGACACCCGCTGGACCTGCCTGGTGCTGGACCTCCCCTCCATCCTCTCCCTCTACCTCAGCCGCCGGTACAGCCACCTGAAGGGCATCAAGCTCTGCTCCAACCTGCTGGTGAAAAACCTCTGCACCAGCGACTTGGTGTTCGACCCAGGTGAGGAGCTGAGACCTCGCGGTGGCCTCTGCTTTCTCTTGTCACTTCAGCTCAGCCTAGATTGAACCTGTGGAGGGTTTAAAGCAGCTTTTCTCCCCCTCTACTCCATTCTCATGAGACAAAGCAGCTTTTCTCCCCCTCTACTCCATTCTTATGAGACACCACAATGGAGTACTGCATCCAGCTCTGGAGTGCTCAGCACAAGGAGGACATGGACCTGTTGGAGGTCTAGAGGAAGCCCCGGAGATACTGGGAGGGCTGGAGCCCCTCTGCTGGGAGGGGGGGCTGAGAGAGTTGGGGAGGTTCAGCCTGGAGAAGAGAAGGCTCCGGGGAGACCTTGGAGCCCCTTCCAGTCCCTAAAGAAGGGGGGCTCCAGGAAAGCTGGGGAGGGACTCTGGATGAGGGAGGGGAGCCCTAGGAGGAGGGGGAAGGGTTGGACCCTGCAAGAGGGGAGATGGAGCTGAGCTGTGGGGAAGAACTTGTTTGGTGTGAGGGTGGTGAGAGCCTGGCCCAGGTTGGCCAGAGAAGCTGTGGCTGCCCCATCCCTGGAGGGGTTGAAGGGCAGGTTGGAGGAGGCTTGGAGCAACGTGGTGTGGTGGGAGGTGTCTCGGCTTAGGGCAGGGAGTTGAAATTTGATGTTCTTTAAGGTCCCTTCCAACCCAAACCATCCATGTGCAGACGTGATGCCAGCAGGGCCATTAGCCCTGGCAGAGCACGGGGCTGCCGTTACTGTCACAGTGGGTCAGGAAGCAGAAACTTGGTACAATGTTAAATCTCCACGTGTGTAGGTGAATACAATCTCCTGACCTCTGGAGGAAAGCATCCTCTCATTTTCTAGCTGTAAAAGTGAAATATAAGAACACAGTTAAATATCTCACCAAGGTTAGAAATTTTTTGGGGGGGAAATAGAGGTGTTACCGAGCCTCACTTCTCTGAAGCCTGTGCTTTGATCTGCCGGAAGAGCCTGTGGGTTTTTTTTGTCTCAGAAATCATCCGATGTACTTTTTTTTATCCACCTGCTCGGTGTGGCAGAGATAACTTTGGTCAAAACCTTTGTTTTCTGCCTTTCTTTTCTTTTGGGCTGGAAATCTGCCCCAACTGAGTGGCCCAGCTGGAGAGCATCAGTGAGGAGGAAGTCAGAGGTGCTGCTTTCAGACTCCTCAAACTCGTTATGTCTTGAGGACTTTTCATGGAGGAGGGAAGACAAGAAAATGAGAAAAGAGTCTTTTAACACACATCACGTGAAGCTGCTGATTCACTGACTAGGAAACTAAATGAATCTTGGGCCTGGGGGATTTATAACTTGATGTCAAGGGTTTACGCTCATGGGTCTTTCTTGGTGGTTGAGAGTTTGGGGAATATTCCTGTGCAAAGGTGTGTTGGTTTGTTCCAGCCCTTGGGGTTATAATCGTTGTGTTTCACTAGGAAACTAAATGAATCTTGGGCCTGGGGGATTTATAACTTGATGTCAAGGGTTTACGCTCATGGGTCTTTCTTGGTGGTTGAGAGTTTGGGGAATATTCCTGTGCAAAGGTGTGTTGGTTTGTTCCAGCCCTTGGGGTTATAATCGTTGTGTTTCAGGTGTTCTCAAAGAGGGAAGGGGTTTGTGTCTGGGTGACTTCACTCAGCTCCACGGGCCTTGGAGAACTCACTCTCTTTATCTTCATCTCCCTGCTGCCAGGTGTCACCTTCTCCGAGGCCCGGCGAGCCGACCTGGCCTGCCGTGGGGTGGCCCCCATGCCCCGGGAGATGGCTTTCCCTGTCCCCAAAGGAGAGAAGTGGCACGACCTCTACGACTACATCAGGTACAGCTTGTCCCTGAACCCACCGCCCCGGAGACCACCCCGTTCCCCCGGGAAAGGCAGTTTATGGAATGATGGATCTGGACAAACCTGGGGGCTCGAACAGAGACATCACTATAATATTTACAAGATTGGGGATCTGGACAAACCTGGGGGCTCGAACAGAGACATTTTGGTCATCCCAACTCCAGCGTTTAGGTGGTGTTATAACATCTACCCTGGTCTAAGCTTAATTGCTGACTGTTGGGGTTCAACCCCAGCCACCTCATCCCTCCTTCCCCCCAGAAGGTTGGGGATGAAAAAGGAGGGGAAAGGGAAAAAGACAAAAAACCTGATGGATTGAGATAAAGGCAGTTTAGAGGTCCCTTCCAACCCAAACCATTCTATGATTTTATGATTCTATGATTTTGGTCATCCCAACTCCAGTGTTTAGGTGTTGTTATAACATCTGCCCTGGTCTAAGCTTAATTCCTGACTGTTGGGGTTCAACCCCAGCCACCTCATCCCTCCTTCCCCCCAGAAGGTTGGGGATGAAAAAGGAGGGGAAAGGGAAAAGGACAAAAAGCCTCATGGATTGAGATAACGGCAGTTTAATGGAACAATAATGGAAAAGGGGAAAAAAAAATAATCCAGGTTGGAGGGGGTTTGGAGCAACGTGGTGTGGTGGGAGGTGTCCCTGCCCAGGGCAGAGGGGTTGGGACTCAAAGACTGGAAGGGGCTTGGAAAAGGGGAAAAAAAAATAATAATAGTAAAAGAAAAAACTGAAAGAGGGGAGATGGAGCTGAGATGTGGCGAAGAACTTTGGTGTGAGGGTGGTGAGAGCCTGGCCCAGGTTGGCCCGAGAAGCTGTGGCTGCCCCATCCCTGGAGGGGTTGAAGGGCAGGTTGGAGGGGGCTTGGAGCAACCTGGTGTGGTGGGAGGTGTCCCTGTCCAGGGCAGAGGGGTTGGGACTCAAAGATTGGAAGGGGGTTGGAAGGTCTCTTCCAACTCTAACCATTCTATGATTCTATGTTTTGGGGCAGAAAAAAGGCTGTAGAGCATTCCCATGCCTGTCTTTAAAACCCATCCTCTCTCTCAGTAGCCCTGTATTTGGGGGAGGAGAGGGCAAAAGGGGGGAATCTTACAGGAGAGAGCGAAGAGGCTTTTGTGCCAGGCAGTGAGTTACCACATGAGATTCCCCATTGCCCGATGACATGGCTCCTTCCTCTGCTTTTGCTCAGGTTCCCATCGGAGGGGTCCAAGCTGCCCTATGACTCCATCCAGAAGAGCTGTCCCGCTCCTGCGGCAGGTGGGAAGGTTGGGGACAGCAGCCCAGGCTGTGCCACCACCAGGTGGATGCCCTGGGTTTCCAGAAGAGCTTGACCTGCTCCTCGTGTCACCCAGGTGGCCAAGTCTCAGAGGACCCCCATCCTGTGACACTCACCAAAGCAGTCCGTGACCGTCTGTCCCTCGTCCATCAGATCACCAGTCCCAAAGCTGTAAGTGCACCATGGAGGAGGCTGAAGGTTCTTCCTTTCTGTCTCCCATGGAGTTTTCCCTCCTGTTTTGTCCTTGAGTGCCCTTATTTAGGACGCAGGAGCTGCTCGTTGTCATTTGCAGCTGATTGGGGCAGGTCAGACCCTGGATCTGGGCACGGTCTGTTGACCCACAGTTAATGACTGGGTGTTCAGTCTGGCCCAGCACGGAGCAGAGACAAGATAAAGGCCAAGAACCCTGTAATCTCTAGACGTCTCTCCTCCCCTCTCAGCTGAGGCAGAAAATAGTTGTGTCTTCAAATTAGAGATAGGAAATGAGGGTTGGAAACTAAAGAACTTGATGGAGTGCCCTCAGGGAGCAGGGCAGTGTGTGGAGGCCCTGTTGGTGGGACTGCAGGCAGCTGCCCTCACCCCTGGTTTCTCCTTCCCTGCCGGTGGTGATGCAGGAGCTGGTGCCCAGACTGGCTTACCAGACACCGTGGTGATGGGCTTTTGGAGAGGGACTGGAGGAATCCATCCCTCTTGTATGTGGAGAGGGAGAAAACGAGGAGCAGGACCTCTTTGCTGTTCTTGGCCAAGAAGGCCAATGGTCTCCTGGGTGGCATTAAAAAGAGCATGGCCAGCAGGTGGAGGGAGGTCATCCTGCCCCTCTGCTCTGCCCTGGGGAGGCCCCATCTGGAGCACTGGGACCAGTTCTGGGCTCCCCAGTTCCAGAAGGACAGGGAACTGCTGGAGAGGGGACAGCGGAGGGTCCAAAGATGATGAGGGGCCTGGAGCATCTCCCTTACGAGGAGAGGCTGAGGGACTTGGGTCTTTTTAGTCTGGAGAAGAGAAGACTGAGGGGGATCTGATCAATGCTTATAAATACTTCAAGGGAGGGTGTCAGGAGGATGGGGCCAGTCTTTTTTCAGTGGTGCCCAGGGACAGGACAAGAGGTAACGGGGACAAACTGGAACAGGGGAAGTTCCATCTCAACATGAGAAGGAACTTCTTTGCTGTGAGGGTGGCAGAGCCCTGGCAGAGGCTGCCCAGGGAGGTGGTGGAGTCTCCTTCTCTGGAGACATTCAAACCCCCCCTGGACACGTTCCTGTGGGACCTGCTCTGGGTGGACCTGCTGTGGCAGGGGGTTGGACTGGATGATCTCCGGAGGCTCCTGGAGACCTACAACCCTGTTATTGTTGTACAACCACCTACAATTCTGTGATTCTTAACTGGGATGCACCAAACTGGCTGGCTTTTGGCTTCCGTTGCTTAGTGTGGAGAGGGCAGCTCTTCTCCAGCAGGGCTGGATCTCTCCTGGGGCTCTGCTGAGCTGTCTGGAGGAGGTGAATTCTGCAAGGACAGCTCTGGGGACGTGATGTGTGGTACATGGCCAGGCTAGGTACCAAAAGGGCTGCTCTCCCTCCGTGTTTCTTCGTCCTTGCTCGTAGCGCTGTGAGGAGTCACTCAGGAGAGACGTGGTGTCTCCCAGTCTCTGTGGTGGGAGGAGGACTGATCTCTGCCTGAGGCTTTGCTCTTTCTCAGGTGCCGCGTCGGTGTCCTGTGATTACGAAAAGCATCCCTGAGGTTCACCTGATGGCCTCAGGTGGGGACCAGGAACCAGAGAAGAACCAGAGACCGCCCAGCGCGGGGGACGCCGGGCCGTCACCGGACGTCAGTGACGGTGGCATCCACGTGTACGCTCACCAGAGGAGTGAGCAAACCCTCCCACCTATCCACAGCGGCTCAGAGGAGGTGGGTGAAGCACCCACCCAAGGGTGGCTTTGGGACACTTTATGAACCCAGCAGAGGGAACACAAGCTTCAGGCTGGAGTTTCTGTTAATCCTACCGAGTCCTTCTGCTGCCGTTAGTTTTTCTGACCAGCAGTTCTTCCCATTGGCATCTTACCTGCCTCGAAAGAGACACCCTGTGTTTGAATGCACTGTCCTTAAACTAATAATATATCACAGAATCAGAATCCCAGAATCTTCTAGGTTGGAAGGGACCTTAAAGATCATCTTGTCCAACCGTCAACCTCACTGACAAAAATAGACACCCACACAACAAACAAGGAGCATCATCACTAAACCATCCCTCCCAGCACTACATCAACCCGTCTTTTGAACACCTCCAGGGATGGGGCCTCAACCACCTCCCTGGGCAGCCCATTCCAATGGCTGAGAACCCTTTCAGTGAAAAAAATTTTCCTAATATTTTTCCTAATATATGTTTATCAATTTGTCCAGAGTGCGTACAGGAAGGGCCCTGGACCAGGCATGTCATCCAGTGGGAGATCTTCTGCCTGTAAGGTAAGAGGACAGCCCTTCCTGTGGTGGCCACCACTCTCTGGGCATCACCGGGGCACTGGGAAGGGCTGGATGTAACCCCCAGCCCAGGAGAGCTGCTGAACACTGGGGAACCCCAGCTCCTCCTTCCTTCCAGGTTTGACTTCTCCCCTGTTAAATACTTCAGAGCCATCCCCTAAATGGGAGAGAAACCAAAGCTGCCTCTCTGCTTTAGAGAGAAAGGAGCAATGGGGACGGAGGGTCCCATGGTCAGGGGACCTCAGTCCTGCTCGAGGTGTGACGGTGCTGTCTGTTGGGTTGGTTTTTTCCAGACACTCTTACCAGATCCCATCTTGAAGCTGAGAAGGATTATTGGCTTTGGAGGCTGCAACACCAAATGGGTCAGTAACTTGGACAGTTTGGGGAATTGATGTGTGTTCACAGATTGATATATTTTTTTTTTCAGAGGCATTAAAGGCAGCTGAGTGTCATCTTTTCTGCAATTCCTGGTGGGGAAAAGGACCCCAAAGCAGATTGGCTCGAGCTTGTATTCGTGCACGGGTCTTCTGCTGTAATGATGGTGAATTGGAAATTATGGGACCCTTTTAGATCTCATGGCTTCTTAAAATTAGAGCCACTTGGCAGGAGTCTGGAAAGGAAGGGCTGTGTTTTGGATTGTTTCCGTGGGGCACTGTGCCCTGCAGGAACCCAGCTTGTGGTCTGTGTTGGGGTAAAGAAAGTGTCGTTTTGGTTCAGCCAGTTCAAAGCTCTCCCAAGAGCATGATTTCCCACGTATCTGCTGCTCATGTAGTAGAGAAGATCAGTATGGTAAATCCACTGAATTAAATAGGATGTTGCCTGGGCTCTTGCTTTTCCTTTGTGAGTTAGAAGAGTACCCGTATGGAGGAGCATCCTCTCACTGCACACCTGCAGCACATCTCCTGGTGAAGAAACCTCTGCAGGTTCCAGCCTGGGACCTGGGGAGGATCTGCAGCCCTCTCATTCCTGTCCTGCAGGCTCTGTGGACTCGGAACAACGCTGCTGTGGTCTACCCCTGCCATGCTGTTATAGTCACCCTGCAGATCCACACCGGAGAGCAGAGGTTCTTCATTGGCCACACGGATAAGGTGAGCTTCTCCGTGTATCCCAGATGGATCCCCTGGTCCCTCCAGAGCCTCTAACCCGGTGCTTTCTGCAGGTGTCGGCGCTGGCCTTCAATGGGGACAGCACCTTGTTGGCTTCTGCCCAGGCTGGTCCCCTGAGCGTGGTGCGTCTCTGGGACTTCTCGACAGGCACCTGCCTCTCACTGTTTAAAACCCACGTCCACTCCCTCTTCTCCCTGAGGTGGGTTTTGGCCTGGGTGCAGGGGTGGGTGCTGGTGGGTTATGTCTCACAGCTCAGCAACTTGCAGGGGTGGGTGCTGGTGGGTTATGTCTCGCAGCTCAGCAGCTTCACAAAATCATATAGGGTTGGAAGGGACCTCTGGAGATCATCCAGTCCAACCCCCTGCCAGAGCAGGGTCACCCAGAACAAGTCTTATAGGAACGTGTCCAGGTGGGGTTTGAATGTCTCCAGAGAAGGAGACTCCACCACCTCCCTGGGCAGCCTCTGCCAGGGCTCTGCCACCCTC